AAAATGTATTTAAATGATATGAGCACATGGGGTTATTTTGTTCCAGTACACATGTTTTCAGTCTTTGTTGTTGGTAAGACATTTACATGATAAATATATTGTGGATTTACCAAACACTGCTCATTGATGCTAAGCAGAAAGCAAACACTGTTGCTTTGGCCATTTGTATTTTGCGAACTATGTGGGTAATCAACATTGTAAGGAAACGACTCAGAAAAATATGAAATATCACAGAAATGTCAAAATACACTGGAGGGGGGGCTTTAAATCTAACTCCCTGCAAGCGAATATGACCATTTCCTAATATGTCAAAATATTCCTTTAAAAAAGGAGCATCTTTCATTTTATTTTCTAGTTACTTATTACGTTGGAAGCAGTAACGTGGGATTCAGTGGTGGGGAACTTGAGGAGAATGAGAATGTTAAGTTAAGTAAAAGATTGGAATTTAATTTAAAAAATAACAAAAATAAGCAGCTCTCGTTTCTTCCCTCCATGTGAGCAGTTTGATTGATTTGAAGATTAATAATTGTTTTTACCCCCATTCAGTATAATTATATAACTTAAAGTCTGACTAAAACACCCATCTTCTCTGCATTAACACCTCAATCTATCCATGCAATCACTGCTCAACTGATAAACTGTGTTTACCCGAATCTTATTACTTTAATTATTTTTTATTCCTCTGATTCTTTGTGATTTTGGGGAACCAACATTTTTTTTTGTTTTGAACAGCTGCTGGCCACTTTAATTGCTCCACAAAAAGCTCCATCAGGCCTTAAAATAAACTACTGGGTCAAAAACAAATGATTTGAAATACATTTTTGTATTGCTCTCTTTAGTCCCGCCTATATATCTGTCCGCCTTCATCTCGAACTACCCTTTTTTGTTCTCCCTTTATCTTACCAAACTTCTTTGCACACGTGTAACAACCATCCCCAGTTTGTGATGCCGAAGAAGACATGATTTTAGAAATCTCTCCTTCTCTCTCTCTCTCTACGTGATGTTGGATATGGGGTCGCTGATTTTCAGACACCACCAGTGGATGGCTCTTGCCATGGTGAACAGAACGAGCAGGATCAGCAGCACCCACGAAACGTAGATCCCTTTAGAGGTCTGGGCGGGAGTCCACGTCCCGACCTGAACACAAAGAGACAGACATGCAAAAGGGTTTTCAAGCAGCGGCACCCAACCTGAAGAGAAATCTGAGGGGCTGCAGAAGGATTAAAAAATTAAGAAAAATATCTATCTATTTTTAAATAATAGGGTATCATTAATGGTACTACTACTCTTAACGCTACTGCTTATCAATTCGGTACTTTAACGGTACTCTTGTTCGTACTTTTTGTTATGAACGCACCCATATTTAGCTATTGGTTATTTTCAATCAACTCCAAATGGGCTGTAGGCTTCCAGCATACATAACATGGATGGGGCAACGAGAGATGAACTACGAGCAAGGCAGTCTAACGCGGTGCATCTCTTCCCCTGAAAGCGATGCACTTTCGCTAGATGTTTTGAAAGATTGCTCTTGTTTCCGCCCTTATGTGCAAAAGACGGTCGGCCGGATGGCTCCATGGTGGCTTGGCTTGGGAACTGGAGGGTTTGAGATGCCAGTTCACCTCCTTGGCACTGCCGAAGGTGCCTGTGAGCAAGGCCCTGATCCCCTAACTGTTCAGGCGGCGACTACATGGCGGCCATCTCGCTCTGACATCTCTCTATGTTAATGCATGTATAATAATAACAAATGGTACAAATTTTAATTTGATTGATTAATAAAGCTGCCTTTTCTTGAGACTTGTTGCGTTTGCGGCATTGAGCATCGTCAGCATAGACTCCAGTGAAGTGTAACCAGACTTTTGAGCGTTTAGTTCTCGCCATCATTGTCAATGAGAGCAGCTTCTCTGTGTGTGTCAGATCAATACATTATAGCCTTTAATCATTTTGCCCCCGGCGCCGTAAAATACCAGGTTTCTGCACCAATCCCTTCTCTTGAACTTCCCAAATCTCACATTAACACCAAGGTTGTAAGCTGGGAGGTGGGTCACAAGTAGACACTGCTCCATTTTGAGGAGTCACAAGACAAAAAGGTTAATCTAAAGTTAACCTGTACATCTAAAGAATAGTTGGACTAAAGACTTATTTTTCCCCTGTTACAGGTGTTGTTGGGGGAGTTTTCTCTTATAGGAACCAAGGATCTAAGGGCAGAGGGTGTCGTATTCTGTACAGATTTTAAAGCTCCTTGAGGCAAATTTGTGATTTTTGATATTGGGCTATATAAATAAAAATGTCCCGTTGACACAAACTTTACTGCACATTGTTAAACATATTTCTGATACAGTCTATCACATGTGAACAACCACATTTTTATCCACACAAAATCAAGATTTCAGTTTGTGCTACCAACATTTTACAAGTCTAAAACTGTCATTACTCAAATGTCCTCACACACACACACACAGAAACAAACCATAAGTCCTGCAGTGGAGGCAGCGAGGACCACGAACAGCAGGAAACACAGCAGGCTCCTCCTCCTGGGGTACCTTCGACCAATAGAAGAGCTGGAAATGGAAGCCAGAAAAATATGTAATAGTGACAACAAAATATTTGTAGGATGGTTTAGTCACAAGACAAGGTGGAAAAGGTTCGCCTATCTTTAAGTCTCACACACACAGAATTGTTGAGGTACTTACACTTTTCGGCAGTGTGGACATCGGGCCAAGGTCCGGTCTGAAAACTCAGTCCACTGGAAGAGGAAGTGAAACGTCAGTCTGAGTGTATCTGAATCTCAAGAATCGCACAAAGATACATCAGCAAATAACCCTGTAACAGATTTAGACATGTGGCTAAAAATCAAATAATACAGAAGTGAAACCTGCACCGTGTGTGTGTGTGAGTGTGTCCTACCAGGAATGTATTAGAGCAGTGCCCACAGATGATCCTGATGCCGACAGGCTGATGCTGCGGTTCAGGACTGTCACTGCTGATGTGAACTGGTCCCAGGTTGATGACCCGTTTACTGGCAGGAAAAAAACATTAAGAAAGGGAGATGATTTTAAATATCTAAAAGCTGGTGGGGCTTGCACGTAAACTCAAAATCACTGAAGGCAACCCTGACCAATCCCACGTGAACTGTATAAGATACACGAGAAGTGTGAGGAAAGTCAATTGATTTGGGGATCAATCCAAAGTACTTTTTTAAGTTCATAAATTTTAGATTGTGTTGTAAATAAATAAATACATAAACCCACTGTCCAAACAGCACCAAAAAACAATGTTAGCAACTAGCTAGTAAACACATTGGATATTTGTAAATGCAGATTTAAATATAAAAAATATATTAACATGTTTTGTAGAAACGAACGTCAAAATTACAGTAATATTCCTGTAAGAGTGTTGTAACCCATCACATCTAGTGTTCGAGAGTAACCCTTGTCTGTGATGATTTATAGCAGGAGAGACGAGATACAGTCCAGCTGACTCTCTGCTCTTTTGGATCTGCTTTGCAAACACTATTTAATTACAAAATTAAAATTTTAAAACCAGCATCCACAATTTACACATGATTGTCATTTGGTCGTATGGGGAGAAGCTGTACTCTTAACTAATGTTAATGCTCTCCTTTGTTGTTACTCCACTGAGATTTAGGCAGATTTTTGCAAAAACCTTTATTACTTGAGCTGCACCAGAAAATAAAGTAATATTATGTAATATTAAAACAATCTCTTGAACCAGCTGTACAAACAGAATGATTTCAAAACAACAACAACACCATCTCATCCATGACTGTATTTTGCTGAATGGATGACGGATGAATGGCGTCTTCTGCACAGATGGTGTGAAAACAAGCCAAAGCTGAGATGGGTGAAAAATAATCCCACACTGTTTCTCCGTCTCACCAGTACGGTCTTGGACAGGCGATTTTCTGCGACGTGACTTTGCAGATCAGAAGACAGTTACATGGACAGCGGACATACTTTTTTCCAACAGGAGCGTTCTTTATCGGCTGCAGAGAGAGGGACACAAAGGAGAGGACAATAAGAAACCTAAAACTTTTTCAGCTTCAGTGTCTAGGTTTTACTAATTTTGCGTTCTAAATAGTTGTCAGTGGTTCTATTTTGATCTCATCTGCAAAATTGCCTGTCCCACTTCCTGGGAAAGGAAATTGGAGACACTGTCAATGTCTGGCTGCTGAAACATGACACTCAAAAGTCTGATATTTTATGGGTTCTGACCGCAGTAGTTCTCAACCTTCAGATGCTTTCAGATTGGTGAAAACATATCTAACAAGGTAAAAAGCTAACAGATCTAAATTTTTTTAATGTACTAAGTCTTTTGATTCAGACATACAGTACGATAAAAAATAAAATAAAAAAATCTAATTGTGATTATTTTGACTGATACTGCATTTGCAATATGATTATTGGAGGTACTATGATACTTTTTATATGATTAGTCAGATTTTTCATTGAAAAGCATATCTAAATGATTATGGGGTGATTTTTGCAAGGATCCGTACGAAACAAATATGTTGAAAATAGCAGTAGGCCTTATTGAGATTTCAAAAGATTTTGATTAAGTGATCTGCCCTATACAGTACTAATAATTATAACACTACAATATGACCCAAATGTACAGAAGTCAACACACACAAAGTGTTTCAATGGTCTTCAAACAGAACAATCGTAAAAAATGGTGCATAGGTAAGACTAACAGGAAAGTTTTTTTCTCTGTATTGTTCATTTTGAAGGTACTGCATCTTGTTTTTCGCTACACAATGTACTGTAACACAAAGTGGGAAAAAAGGTTGATGTGGGACAAAATGTTTGGTTCCACCACTTTTTGCTTAGGCAACACTGTGAGAGAGCTGTGAGCAAAAATAGAGGTTGTTTTCACGGGTTAAAGGCAAAATCCAAGTCTAATGTCCTGTGATGCGACACTGAAGAAGACTCGTCCGCTGCACTCACCGTAGCTTCGTTGCAGATGCTGCACTTCACCACATGCTGGTGCGTCTTTCCCTCCACAGATATGGTGCTCTGACAGACCCGGCAGCTGATGACCGGAGCGCTGCTGCTGTCTGGGCTGCCCTGTGGGGAATAGGGGGGTGGAGGATCACCTGTTACCACCGAGCTGGAGAACGGCGCCAAACCTGGAGACAGAGACAACCAGGAGGAAAAACTGTTTAGTAACAGATCATTGTCAAAACGATTCCAGAGTTTCAGTACCAATATCAAAACAATACTTTTTCAATTCCAAACTTGATATAAATAAAAATAATGTATGTTCCCCCCCTTTTAAAAAAAAGCTATGCTAGGCTGTGTGGATGTCAATGCAGGTCCACCACTTTGTTCCACATTGAAATATTTCAAAAAAGACTGATAGATTCCTATGAAATAACATTCATGGTCCTCATCAGCACCGGTTCCCCTCAAGGCTGCGTTCTTTCCCCTCTGCTCTTCTCCCTTTATACCAACATCTGCACCTCCAGTCACCAGTCTGTCAAGGACTCATCTCAGGTGGGGATGAGTCCGCCTACAAGTGGGAGATCGACCATCTGGTGACCTGGTGCAGCCACAACAGTCTAGAGCGCAACGCTCTGAAGACAGTGGACTTCAGAAAGAGCACAGCCCCACCCTCCCCCATCATCCTGTGTGACTACCGCGTCGCCAAAGTGGACTACTTCCTCTTCCTGGGTACCATCATCTCCCAGGACCTCAAGTGGGAGCTGAACATCACCTCCATCACCCAGAAGGCCCAGCAGAAGATTTACTTCCTTTTCTCTATTGTCTTTAATATTCTTATATCACTTGCATTGTCTATTCCATATTTATATATTTCTACATTTATTTATGTCAACTGTATGTTTGTCTGCGTGTAGCACCTTATCACCAAAACAAATTCCTCGTATGTGGTGAACACTACTTGGCAATAAAGCTCCTTCTGATGCTGATGAAGTGTAATAACTTTAGTGGTCCCGACTTTTCATCTAGCGGCCTCATCAGGTCGAAATTATAATTTGTCCAGTACTTGGGTTTATGATCAAACATCTGCAAAACTGAAGACATTCCCATCAGCCTCAGCTCTGCTTTACTGCTATCTAATAAATGTTAGCATGCTAACATGGCACACTAAGATTGTGAACATGGTAAACATAGCCTCAACATTAGCATGTTAGCACTGTCATTGTGAAAACGTTAGTTGACTTTAGAGAGAGTTAAGAGCATCCCTGCTGTAACATCACTGGAGGACACGTTACAGCTGATAACCTGTGTAACATCAATTTCCTCTTTAAACATTAACTATGAAACTATCTTCTTACAGTGAGCATGTATTGCTTAGTACAAACAACAATTTTATCAGTTAACAAGGCTTTATCAGTGAGTGAGACTTCCAAAGGCCAAATGTTATCAAGGAAGACAGAAAAAAAGAGGGAAGATGTAAAGCAGAGACAAACAAGATCAAATACGGAGTAAGACATATAGTCGTCGGCAAGTCTGGATACAACTGTAGAATACTTGAGTCCTTCAAACTGAATTAGGACTGATTATTTTCATTATTGATTCTTCTGTTGATGTTTTGACTCATCTTTTAGTCTACAAAACGTCAGTAAATACTGAACAAAAACACTTTACATGTTTTCAGAGCTCAATGTGCTGTCTAAAAATTGCTTAATTTGTCCGTCTATCCGGCCCAAAATAATTAATTTACAATGATATAAGAAAAGCAGATAATCCTCACATTTGAGAAGTGGACATGTGGCGCTTTTACTTGATAAATTAATTAAAAAGATTATTACAAATGTTGTCAAGCTCATGTTCTGTAGATGAACCAGTCGCTTAATCAAGTAAGATAAATAACAGATGTCCTAAAAAACTGTTTACATCTAAATGAGAGCCTGGCTGACCTTTGACCTTGTATCCATGATGCAAACAGGGTCATATATGCCTTTACCTCTTGTTCTTTGTAATAATTGCACAAAATCTATCTGGTTACAGTTCATTTTTGACAGAGAGGACTGCCAAACCCATGAATATGTGTGACTCTGTCTTTAGTGTCCCTATTTGTTTGTCAGGTTTTGGTTTTATTACATAGTTAATATTTCTCTTTCTGTACACATCCCCCCTGTGGGAGAGGAGCTGTTAGTACAATTAACACGGAGGATCTGTTTCCCTGCTTGTTATTCAGGATAAACATAAGTCAGCCAAGTTCCCCCGCTGTCACCACGTCTTTTCCTACAAACAGCCAATTCTATTTACCAAACTTCAGTTTGACATTACTGTTATTATAGTGTGTATATTTGGGACCACTGACATGTTGACGACACTCCTCAGCCTAAATACAAACTAAAATAGTACATTTTGCTGTCCCAGAAGCCTATAAATATGGCTGTATCGCTGTGGCTAGCGTGGCAAACGAAACAGCGGACATACTGTGCGGTTTTGACGGATATCCATGCGAGCTGACACCGGGAGAGAAGCCGTTGGTCCCGTCGTGCTGCTCGGACAGCAGCGGTGACCGTTCCCCGTCCGCCATTGGCTCCCACCGGACACCGGTCTTTGGCCCCTTAGACCCCCGACAGAGATTTCTGGATAAGTTAAGTCGCGGAGGAGACTTCAAGCCCAACGCCTGTCAGGTTGGGTCGTTGACATCCACATGACACAGCGAGAACACTGAAGGCGGAAGCGAAGTAACAAAAACATCTGTCACATGACTGTGATCTGAGTCACTGCTGTGATGGACAGCGCGCTCGACCAATGAGAGAGCTCGGCTGCGATGGGTGGGTTCAAAAGCGCAGTTTGACTGTCAGGGCCGATTTTTATATACAGTCTATGGTTCAAATACTAATAGGCTTTAAAGCATCCTTTACTGGGGGCCGTAAACCTTTTCAAGCGGGGTACCTAGGTTTGGGTAAATTTACAGCTTCCTATGTATCTGTCAGTGGTTAAAAGAAGTAATCAAAACCTTTACTTAAAGTTAAAGTAACAATTTCACACTGTGAAAATAATCTGTTAGAAGTAAAAGTTCAAAATTCTACTTGAGTAAAAGTATTTTCCAATTCAATTCAGTTTTATTTATATACCCCAAATCACAACAACAGCACTCATAGCACTTTTCATAAAAGACGAGGTCTAGACCTTGCTCTGTGAATGTTATTTATAGAAACCCAACTATTTTTCTAGCAATATGTACTTTAAGTAGCCCTGTGATCGCTGTAACAAACTGACTGTAGAATTTACAGTAAATACCTGGCAAATATTTGCCAATAAGGTGTTTACAATAAAACAACAATAAATAGTAATCTAATTTACAACATTATCTTGTATTCTGTTCAAATTACATAAATTACTTGACAACTACAGTTGCCAGTAAGTAGCTGTTAAGTCGTTACAATACAATATGTTGCTGTAGAATTTCTTTTACAGTTAGTATTTGTTTTTTACCTAATAAACATTGTATTAGCTTATCTTCACATTTTACAATTAAATTGGAATCAGAGCTGTAACACAACATTTTTTAAATTCAACACAGTTTCTCAACAATGTCAGCTCCTTGTAGTGATGGCAGTGCAACGCTGAAGCGTGATCACGTGACATGTGACGTTCGAAGCAGCAACTGCTTCATTGACTAATCACTGATTGGTTCGTGGTCCAATTTCGAAATCTTGGACTGTTTGTGTTCCCCATCCCATGCAATAACCCCCTGCCATAGTTAGCCTACACAAGCACACCCAACCCTATTTCCCCAGCACTCTCTCCTCAATAACACAATACATGCATTCATCAAACTTTATTTGTAAATAGAACATCATGCTCAGTCTTAATGTGTGTGCATCAAATCAAAGTAAATGTACTTTAAGCCCAAGGGTGATTAAAGTGAAGATGCTTTATAACTAAAGTGTGTTTTTTACAAAAGTAAAGTAGTTTCTCTAAGCTTCTACATGAAAGACTAAAGTGCAGCCAAAACAGTCCCTTCACTCCTGGTTCAGCGCAGACAAAACATATCAAAACGTTTTTTCCAACAGAAACGGTGGTCCCCTGAACACCCTGCTGTGTAAGCAAGCGCACTGCATTATCCTGCCTTTTTAACACCGTTGTGTTTACAAAGTTTACGCAGCTGATTGGGTAACACCTGAGACACACCCACCAAACGGGAGCAAACATATCTGGAAGCCTGTTGCAGAGCGTCGCGCAACGTTTCGAGGAAACATGCCGTTCAATCTGAAAACGTTGCAAACCGGTGCAAAACGTTTTGACATTGAACTCGCACACAGTTTTCGTGAAAAATACACTGGCTGCATATTCTCTCCTGAGCTAAGCTGAGAGACACTTTTGGTGTGAGCACAAGCATTGACCAGAATGGCTGTGAACAACTCCAGCAGGCGCAGCAGCTCCTCTTTCAAACCACCTTTTGCAACGTAATCCAATATCAACAGCATTTAACTGTAATATCTACAGTTAAAACGCAGTTTGCCTGCAATTTTACAATATGTTACTGTGGAAAAATGCTGTCAACAACTGTAATTATTTTGGACCCATAATAAACTTTTTTTTGTTCGTTTTTACAGTTTTACAGTTAACCTCTGTAAAATGACAAAACAAGTTTCTGAAATTGTTACTGTAGAAACTGCAGCAATTTGTTACAGTGCAGACTGGTGACCTGACTGGATGTACCCTGCCTTTTGCCCTTCATCAGTTCTGAGCATAGACTGTATATAAAAAGGTTCAGAGTGACTGGTAGGGGAAATCAACTATTTATAGGGGTCGTGGCGTGAGCGCGGGTCTCGGTGTAGGTCAAAATTCATCAGACTATAAGGCGGGATTTGAATCTACGATTTTAATGGACAAATAAGTAAAAAATAAAATAAAATAAATAAATAAATACATTTTTTAATGTTACCTAAATAAGCATATAATCTTTAGTTTTATATTTTTATTAAGATCCTTACCTATATTTTTTATTGTTCTGTGTTTTCTTTTAAATCTTATTTTATTGTATTGTGGTATTTTATTATTTTTTATTAATTTTACATGTAACATTTGTGGACATGCTCAATAAACAGATGTACCAGTCTTGCTGGTCGTGTTATTGTCTTTGGTTTTCTATTTGTGCCATGCAACGGGACTGTTAACTGTTGATACAGCTTGCCTTTAATATCCAGCTTCCACTGGTGTGGAACATAGACTGTATATGTGGAAACAACCGCTTGGCCCAAGCATAGTTGTTAAATAAAAAAAAGAGCCTTAAAAAAAGAGGTGTCAAGTGTCAACGTAGTAATCAGTGTACGTTATGTGTTAAAATTTAGTTAGTATATAGTATATTTATACTATAATTACTGCAAATACTAGTATGAATGTTTCAATTCATATCACTGTTGTATATTTTATTTCTTCCAAAGTGATTTTAAGTTTCACAAACCAAGAATATTCTGTAATGTTACATCACGAGCCAGATGTGTCTCGATTTAGGTTAAAACTTAACAACATTACTGAGAATTTATTGACAGAATAACAGCGGTACGAACATTATCAGCTGTTGCTGGACACGTCTGGTGTGTTGGCTGCAGTGGTCTGTGTGACTGGGCCTGGGGGAGTTAACCGGAGCTAGCTAGCTATTCCTGACAGCCCCTCGAAGTATATTCCTCTTACCCTAACCCGGGAATGTGCCTAAAGTTATTGATTATATGCATGTCAACCGGTTAACCCTACAGCGGCGCTAGCAGATAGGGTTAACCTCCATTGTGTTGCCGTGCAGCCTCCAGTAACATTACTGCAGCTATATAACACCCGTCGGCACTTGCGGAGCTTCTCAACTCCGAAAACCTTTGAACACATTTTCGATTCGCTGCCAATTTTCGTAAAACTAACGATCTTCGAAATCTACACAGTTGATTTCTCGCCTAAAAACTTCTCAGAAGTGTATTTAAAGTTCTGTTGTTGGCTTCTAAAGAATAAAACGGTTTGCATTAGGATCTATCATGTACGTAAGCCGAGATGAACGTCATCACGTTTTGTCTGGGACAAACCATATTTGGAAGTTCAACTTCCGTCAACTTCTGTCTGCAGGCTGCATATGTTGGATATGCTTGAATCATTAGGCTACAGACTGTACCGCGAGGGGCGCGGCGTGAGCAGTGCTACAGTCCGCAGCTGGACCTTGTTGACTATTTATGCTGCGTTCTACTTTCCTCAGAGGTCGGAGGTCAGAACTGGGAATGACGTCACACCCGAGTTGACCAGGTTCCAGAAACAAGTCAGAAAACCTCGCTCAGCCAGCCATTGTTTAAAACTAGCCAGGTTAGCCACTCTCTGAGTCGGAAAATCCGACTTAAGGTGGAGTGAACGTGAAAGGGGGGCGAGGAGGGGTGACAGTCGTTAAAGGTAACAACACATTTTTAATTAGGATTATTGGTTGCATTTGAAGCAGTTTTACATCCAATCAAAGTTAGGATGTTAACAAATAAATCAGACAATGCAAAGGCAATTTATTGATATTCCCAAAGCTGTAGTCTTGAAATAAAATACCGAAGTTTTCCATTCTATGGCACCTTTAACCTCTATCACGAACAGGATGGAGGAACTGCTGCCAAAAACAATGTGAAAACTCACACACCAACACACACATAAACACTTGGCTTAAATATTAAATTTAATTTTTATTATCTGTGCCGTGACTCCTGAAAGTGACAGCTGGTGTGGGAGTGAGTGTGTTTTTTGTTACTTTTTTTTTTACCTTGATGTGAATGTGGTGTGCTTGGTGTATTTTGTTTTTTTTTCTGTCTGTGTTTCTTATCTGTCTGTGTCTCTCTCAGTTGGTGGCTGCGGGCTTCCTGCTTTGTTGCCTGTTCCTCACCTGACTGCAGTCAGTTTTGACACAACTGACTGTCACGTAGCCCAACCAGCCTCCCTTCAAAAGCCCAAGCCTCATGTCCAGTCCCTGCTGGATCACTGAGTCTTACGTACAGTATGTCTAGCATAGTGCATCTCAGAAAATTAGAATATTCTTCTGTAATTTAATTCAATAAGTGTATATATATTATATATTCTAGGTTAATTAATAAAATGAAATCTGTCAAGCCTTTTTTTTGTTTTATTCTTGATAATTATGGCTTAGTGACCAAAATGAATTTTCTCAGGAGGGTGGTTGGCGTCTCCCTTACAGATAGGGTTAGATGCCAAAGTCACCCGTAAGGAACTCGAAGTAGAGACGCCGCTCCTTTGCGTTGAAAGGAGCCAGTTGATGTGGTTTGGGCATCTGGTAAGGATGCACCTTAGGGAGATGTTTCCGGCACGTCCAGCTGGGGGGAGAAGACTCAGTATTAAGTGGAGAGATTAAATCACACTGGCCTGAGAACGTCTCAGGAATCTCCAGTCAAAGCTGGCTAATGTGGCTTGGGAAAGGGAAGTTTGGGTCCCTGAGAGACTTACAGCACAAGGACATCAAAAATCCAGTGTCTCAAAATGTATTAGAATTTTAGAAAAAAATAATTTATAAATGTCGACCTGTGAAGAGCTCTTATCAGCTAATTAACTCAAAACACCTGAGCAGGTTTCCTGAGCTTTAATCTCTGCATCTGGTGCTAACAGTGATTTTTTCCACGATATTCAAATTTTTTTGAGATGCACCTGCAGCATCATATTCTTTTAAATCTGTTGTTTCTGAATGTATGTGGCAGAACATAAAAGACTTTATAA